TAAGGACTGGGGAGTTTCAAAATTGACCTTGAATTGAAAGGTGGTCAAATCATCCAATAGGTGAGGTAAATCAAGGGTCACCATGCGGCGAGGATGAGTGTTCAGACAAAGTTGGTTGGGATGGCTAGGAGTCGGCCTAAGTGGAGATTCACGTGGGACCGATCCAACAGAAGACCCAATAGAGGGTCGGCCATGAAGTTTAGGTGAAGAACTACAGGGTGGGACAGCAACCCTAATGTTACTAATGGGTGGGTGGTGCTCTAGATGACGGTCACTAGGGGTGGGGGTCTTGAAAGTGCAACACCCAAAGGTTTGATGAACAAGGGGTGACTTAAACTCAAATGGTTGGTCACTAGTAGAGGGTTGGTATTTTAAAATAAGTTCTCGCCTCATGTCTTTCCAATTAGAAGTAGGGTACTCACCGCGAGACTCTTTATGATCTTTCAACCTCATCCAAAATTGAAGAGCCCGAACTTTTAGGTGAGACTTAGCGATGCTAACCTGGTGGGACTCAAGGATATGACATGAATCAAAATAGTCCTCTAGTTGTCTAACACATTCCCTAAAGTAGTAAGGGTCTGAGGAACCATCAAAGGTGGGCAGACAGTAAGGTGACTCTAAGTGAGGTCGTGGAGGCTTAGGTTCAGGTCTAGGTTGATAAGCCGAGTGGGGCCTCTTCCGACTAGCAAGATTGAACGAGTGGGGCACGTACTTAGAGTGGGGAGAGTCAACAGGTTGCTCTGTCATAATTCTAGTCATAGAGCCCGCTAGGTCAAGGATGTCATCTAACTTATTTTGAAGTCTTATCAAGTCCATTGGGAAAATGCTTGGAAACACTTAGGGATGAATCTAGATACCTAAAAGCAAGGTTTAGACTTAAAGGTCACTAGGTGGAGCAAGACAGTTTGGACAGCAAAACAACCTAATGGATTAAGTAGTCTAAGTGTAAGGGAATGAGTTTAGGATGTGGACAGCACTTAAACATTTAAGAAATTAGCTTACAACTCCCTAATTGAGTGCAGAAAAACAGTGGACAGCAAAATAAAACAGTGATGTAAAATAATAATGCGATGGTATGCATGTAAACAAGTTAAAGGATAGTTAAGTAGACTCTTAGGATGCATCTAGCACATGTAATGCATGCTAGTCATGCTCTGATACCAAATATGATGTGAAACCATGCAAAGGAACAAGAATTGCATGGGGATTTTAATATAAGATTATTAAAACTTTGCTAGTTATAGATTTAGTGCTTACCCAAGTTAGGTTTTCGGAATTATCAATTAAAGACTATGCAAAGCATGTAGTTACAACTAGATTAACGGGATGCCATCAAGTTAACAACATAAAAATAGAGAGAGTAATTGTTATGGCCAACACAATAATCCACGGTTAACAAATAGAACTCTTCACCTTGGGTCGCTCACTCACGCTCTTGACGGTAGGGCTTTAATGGAGGAAGATGTTACGCCTGGACCGGTCCCAGCTGGACCGGTCTGGTTCTACACCCGACGGCTCAGAGTCGGGCGGAACCAGGCGGAAAATGCAGAGGAGCGGGAGTCGGTGGGCCCAAATAGGGGCTAAAACGCATGGTGGGAGGGAAAATTTTTGAATTAGAGGCTGTTTTAGAAAGTCTATTATTGTCCTTTATGATTAATTTGTATAATTAGAAGATTGGGGGGGGGGATTGGCTCCTCATCTTGAAATTTGAATTTTCATTTGAGATCTAGGGTTCGTTTTGGGCTCTTGGCATCGCCGGAGATTGTGGAGAGTACGTTCTTCTTCTCGGATCGAAGAACAATTGTATCTTGATTATTTTGCTTTGCATCTAGTGGAATACAAGTCTTTACTTATGTTTTCTCTCAATTTCTTCCTGTTTCTCGCTGTTTTCTCGCTGTGGACAGCAGTTTTACTATTGGTTTTTACTAATTTGGGATAGGAATACTTGTGACATAAGTACTTCCTATCAAATTGGTATCAGAGCACCATCTTGGGACCATCGGCGACTGAAATCCTGAAATTTCAACTGGTTTTTTGGCATTCGGAGGAAGGTTTCTTGTGACTCGTTGAAAGAAAGATGGCCGGAAAGAAGATCGAAGTCCTAGAAGGCGAATTTGGCCAATTAAAATCAGATTTGGAGGAAAAATTCCTTGAAATCATCGCCAATAATGAAAGGTTGGATGGGAAGTTCACGGCTATGGAAGAGATGATAAAGAAATTACTTGAGATGAAGACTAATCCGACGGCGTCGGAAGCAAGAGAGATTGTTGACGACCATGGCGTAGGAGGGAATCCGAACCCGCTTCGGGGGAGGAGGAATCCGGAAATAGAGATCCTTGAGGGAGATGACGACATGCCACCTCTAGAACCACTTTCTAGAGAGGAGATGAGCATAGGAAATGATCGAAGAGGTGTTGATTTTGGCGGAAGAATAGAGGAATTTCAGCGTCGAGGTGCTGAATTTCAGCGTCGAGATGCTGATTTTGAAAGGGGCAGAGGGGAATATGACGACGGATTCGGATACCATCGCCGGAGAGATGACCGGGACACTTGGGGAGCACCTCCTCTTCGAGGAATGGGAGGTTATGGAGGGTACCGGGGTAACGGAGGGGATCCAAAAGTGAGGAAGTTGAAGATGCCCATCTTTGAAGGCGAAGATGGCCATGGTTGGATCTATAGGGTGCTGCGTTACTTCGCTGTAAACGGGTTGACAGATGATGAGAAGCTGACGGCGGCAGGATTGTGTCTGGAGGGGAAGGCGTTGGCATGGTATCAGTGGCGAGACAGGAGGGAGCCTATTCGGAGCTGGAGAGAGTTCAAGGATTGTTTATTAGAGCGTTTCCGAGCCGATGGGGGAGGAGACTTCTATGAGCAGTTTTTTGCTCTGACTCAGGAGGGGACTGTGGCCGACTATCGGGACAGATTCGAGTACTTGGCTAGCCGCTTGGATCACATCTCAGAATCGGCCCTGGAGGGGAATTTCATGAAGGGGATCAAACCGGAAATACGAACAGCTGTCAGAGTGCTGGAGCCAAGGAACCTAGGAAAGGCTATGGAGCTGGCACAACTGGTGGAAGATCAGAAGAGATCAGAAAGGGGAGCTCGGGGAAACTATTCGAGAGGGTCGCACAGGATGACGACTACCATCTTGCCTTCAAAGGTGGGATCCTCAGGGAGTCCGAAGGAGGCACCGAAGGAGAGAACTGGAGGAGGGGGAAACGGGGGACAGTTCAAACGGCTGACCGAGAAGGAGATGCAGGAGAAGAGGGCAAAAGGGTTATGTTTTCGATGTGATGAGAAGTATATGCCCGGACACCGGTGCAAGGATCGAACTCTTCAGGTTCTCCTCGTTTGCGAAGACGAGGAAGACGAAGAGGGAGGTGGGAGCGGGTCAGGAGGAGAGGAGAAGCTGCATCTGGATGTGGCAGAAGTCTCTCTGAACTCCGTAGTGGGATTCACTCCGAGTCACACTATGAAAGTAAGAGGAGAGATAGCTGACCGCGAAGTGTTGATGTTGATCGATAGTGGTGCAACCCACAATTTCATCTCTGCGCAGATCGTGGATCAGTTAGGGATGGAGCCAGTCGACATTGGAGGCTATGGGGTGATGATGGGCACGGGGAAGGTGGAGATGGGGAGAGGAGTTTGCATGGGAGTGGTCCTGACCATCCAACAGGTCAGGGAGGATTTTCTCCCCTTAGAATTGGGAAGTACAGATGTCATCCTGGGGATGAAAGGACTACAGACTCTAGGGGAGACCAAGGTCAACTGGGGTGCTCTGAGGATGGAGCTAATGGTAGAAGGACAGAGGAAGGTGATCCAGGGGGATGCAGGGCTGACAAGAGCAGTCGTATCTCTCAAATCCATGATCAGATCCATACAAGAGGTGGGAGGAGGATTTTTGGTGGAGCTTCAACGTTTGGAGAGGGTCAGTGTGGGGGAAAAATGAAAAATTGCACAGGTGGTGCAACCGCTCATACAGCAGTATAGGAAGGTGTTCCAGCCACCCCAGGGATTGCCACCCCTTAGAGAGCAGGAGCACGCCATTCTTCTGAAAGGAGTTTCACCGATTAGTGTTAGACCATATCGCTACCCCCAGATTCAGAAAGATGAAATTGAGAAGCTGATCAAGGAGATGTTGGAGGCAGGGATCGTCAGACCCAGTGTGAGTCCTTTCTCCAGTCCAGTCTTATTGGTCAAAAAGAAGGATAGGAGCTGGAGGTTTTGCATGGACTACAGAGCCCTGAACAAGGAGACAGTACCAGACAAATTCCCCATTCCAGTGATCGATGAGTTATTAGATGAGTTGTAGGGAGCGGTGGTGTTTTCAAAAATGGACCTTAAGTCGGGCTACCACCAAATCAGAATGAAGGGGACATTCAGAAGACTGCGTTCAGAACACACGAGGGGCACTATGAGTTCTTAGTGATGCCATTTGGGCTCACTAACGCCCCCGCTACCTTTCAGTCCTTGATGAACAGGGTGTTCAGGCAACACTTGAGGAAGTTTGTGCTAGTCTTCTTTGATGATATTTTGGTGTACAGCCAGACCGAGGAGGAACATTTAGAGCATCTAAAGGAGGTTTTGGGGATCCTACAGACACATCAGCTGAGAGCTAACTTAGAGACCGATGCATCAGGATATGGCTTAGGAGCAGTATTGATGCAGAATCACAGGCCTATAGCATATTTCAGTCAGGTGCTATTGACCAGGGCTAGATTGAAATCAGTGTATGAGAGGGAGCTGATGGCCATAGTCTTGGCCATTCAGAAATGGCGTCCTTATCTTTTGGGACGACATTTCATTGTTCGGACCAATCAGAGGAGTCTGAAATACCTACTGGAGCAAAGGATGGTTACTGAGGAACATCAGAGGTGGTTGTCAAAGTTGTTAGGCTGTGATTTTGAGATCCAGTATCGGCCGGGGTGGAGAATAAGGCAGCTGATGCCTTGTTTAGGTGTGTGGGGGAACTTCAGGAGGTGGCAGTTTCAGTCCCCTTGATGGTTGATTGGGGGGCCATCCAGGAAGAGAGTATGCAGAACGAAGAATTGAAGAAGGTCAGGGAAGGTTTGATGAAGGGCAGTAGCAATCATTCAGGGTACTATCTGGAGGAAGAGAGGCTACTATACCAGGGAAGGTTTGTGATGCCACGAACATCAGTACACATCCCTCACATATTGCAGAAATTCCACGGCAGTGCAGTTGGGGGTCATTCAGAAGTACATAAGACATATAGGAGGTTGGCATTGGAGCTCTACAAGAAGGGGATGTATAAGGATGTTGAGGAGATGGTGGCAAGGTGTGAGGTGTGTCAGAGAAATAAATACATGGCCATGGCACCAAGGGGACTTCTCCAACCATTAGCACTGTTGACGAATATTTTCGCATCGACTCGACCCCTATTGAGCCCGACAAAGCTCGATCGCGCTCGATCAACTCAATTGATCATCATCGAGGTGAAATTAATCCGAATTATGCCTCAAATTTAATTAAATTAAGCCCAATTTAATTTGATTAAAATCAAATCAAACCAATCAAATCCCGTCGAGCGTCGTCGAGCCCAATTTGACATATTTCGGCGCCGATTCAAGTTTAATTTCACAAAATTAACTTGATCGGACCCAATCGGACCCAAACCGACCCAAATAGGTTCGGGTCGAGTCCAATTCGGACTCAATTTCAGCCTCAATTGTTTGATTTAGGCTAAATCAAATACCTAAATCTGAAATCTAAATCAAGGGCTCAGATTTCTTGTGAAATTTTGCCCTAAATCCCTCACTCCACGCGTGAGAAGCGGGATTGGTCCATTTGGGCGGCTAGCTGCTCGTGCTCTTCAAGAGAACAAAAGGAAGAGGGAGAGCGTTGGACTCTCCCGTACCCTAAGCACGTCCCAGACAGAGAGGGAGAGGGAGAAAGGCAAGAGCCTCTCGGCTCTTGTGCGGCTTCTTCCGATCGGATAGGAGAGGGGGAGCCCCGTTTTGTCTGTCCCAGGCGAAGCAAAAGAAGGAGAGGGAGAGCCGTTCGGCTCTCCCGTTGCTCTGTCCATCCCAGACAGAGCGGAAGGGGAAGGGGGAGCATTCGGCTCCCCCGTTTTGTCCGTCCCAGGCTGAAGGCAGAGCGGAACAGAGAGCCGAATGGATCTCTGCGTGCATTTCTTGATCCCGTCCAGGTGAGAAGAAGAGGAGAAGAACCTCTTGTGTGCTCCCTTGCTTTCTCTTCTTTTTCCTTGGAAGAGGGAAGTTTCTCTATTTTCCTCCATTTCTCCAAGTGGGAGAGCAAAGCCCTGCTCTTTTCCTTCTCTCAAGCAAAAAGACTAAGTGCAGGAGTATAGTGGAGGCACTTAGAGTATGCATACTTGCTGTGGGGACTTCTCTCACCCCTTCCTTCAACTTCGGCGACCTCCAAACAGCCAAGACAGCAGTCCACAACTTCTTGGACAGCAGGTCCACCATCCGGAAGCCTTGGACAGCAACCATGCAGCCTTCAAAGGCTTCCAAACAGTGAAAGCTGCTGTTTGGAGCGTTGGGACAGCAGTTTTCCTCCTTGGGAAAACCTGGGACAGCAACTTGGAGCTTTCAAAGGACCTTGGACAGCAACCTAGGAGCTTGGACAACGATCCGGAGCTTGGATTGGAGCGCTAGGACAAACCG